GGAGGTCAGATCATTTGCCATTGACCAAAGATGTAATCAATCATACCTGTCTAATGAAGCCTCCATAAAAACCCAAAAGGCCAGGGTTGGAGAACTTCCAGGTTGGTGAACACATAGAGGTTCAAGGAGAGTGACTTGCCTAGAGAGGTTATGGAAGCTTTGCACGCTTTCTGCATATCTTGCACTCTGGTTCTCTTCTGTCTGGCAGTTCCTGGGTTATGTCCTTTTATAATAAACTGGTAATACAGTAAGGAAAATGTTTCAGTTTTGTGAGCCACTCCAGCAAATTGATTGAACCCAAGGAGGGAGTCATTGGAACCTCCAATCTGTAGCCATTGGTCAGAAGCACAAGTGACATCCTGGACTTGTGACTGGCATCTGAAGTTGTGGAAGGAGGGACAGTCTTATAGACCTGAGCCCTTAACCTGCAGGATCTGATACTGTGTCCAGGTAGATAGTGTCAGAGTTGAATTGAATTGTAGGACACCCAGCTGGTTGGTATCTGAGAATTTCTTTGGTGGTTGGGAAAAACCCCTTTCGTTCATTGGAATTAGTGTTCAGAATCATTAGATACACAAAGGTTTAATTCTTTAAGCATTGACTCTGCTTCCTTTTTTTTTTAATGTACTTATTTATTTTTTAATTTATATTCAAGTTAGTATATAGTACAATAATGATTTCAGGAGTAGAATCCAGTGATTCATCCCCTACATATAACACCCAGTGCCTCTAACCTCACTCCTTTGAATTCAGTTATTATTTTTTTTAATCATGCATTTCACTTTATGTGTACAACCTTAGGCATCTTGTACTTTCTTTACTATCATTTTATATCTGTTGTTTCACCATACATGTGAAATATCTTGGACCCCTAACATGAATGGAGGCTTCTTAAAGCCATTGGCTCTCTTCTTACATAAATGTGCCTATTTTATATTTCAAAGTGTTTCAAAAAATTGCTGCTTTCTTGAGCAAATAGAAGAAGGTTTTTCATGTCCTTATTTCTCCACATTTTGTTCCCAAGATTTTAAGTTGAAAACTCAGAGTCAGCCATCATCTCAGCACTAGATGGCACTTGTGCATCACAACTAGTCATATAACACCTAACGGTTTTTGTGACAAGCGAATGATCTACAAATATAATGTTTGGAATCCCTATGTGGACTTTACTTAAAATAGGAAAATGAAACAGGAGGACACCTAAGTACAGTTGCTTTGTAAATACATGGTTGAAGAATGTTTTGAATTCATAATCATTATTTCATTATCATATCAATAGGTAATCTGTTCTCCATCCATACCTTCTTAGTCTAATGTTGCCGTAAAGTTGAAATTTGTTTTAAAGACCTGTTTGCTATTCATCATGGTTAATTGTACAGCTCCTTACATTGATTCATACCTAACTCTAAGCACTTATTATTCTTTTGTAGGATATAAGAAACTACATGGTTTTGGTTTGAGTATGAATCCTGTAGATACCACTGAGGAGATTGTAAGCATCTCCCCTTTACTGCTGAGAAAACAGAAGCTCGGAGATGTTACTCTGCCCAGCACTAATAGCTAATAGGTAGAACCTTTATTCAAACTCGAGTCTGTTGGATTTCAGAGCCCGGGTGTGCTCTTTCCATTACTCTGATGGTGCCAGGTTTAGTCAATACCCATTCATGTTAAAGTAACTGGATGACTAGTGCAAATGACTGATGTCGGTTTCTTTCTCATATGAGAGATACAACTCAACACCCAAAAAACAAAGAACCCAATTAAAAAATGGGCTGAATACGTAAACAGACATTTTTTCAAAGAAGACATCCAGATAGCCAACAGACACATGAAAAGATGCTTAGCATCACCCATCATCAGGGAAATGCAAGTCAAAACTATAATGAGATATCACCTCACACCTGTCAGAGTAGCTAAACTCAAAAACAAAAAACAAATATTGGTGAGGATGTTGAGAAAAAAGGAACCCTAATGCTCTATTGGTGGGAATGCAAACTGGTATAGCCACTGTGAAAAATAGTATGGAAGCTCCTTAAAAGGTTAAAAATAGAGGCACCTGGGTGGCGCAGTTGGTTAAGCGTCCGACTTCAGCCAGGTCACAATCTCGCGGTCCGTGAGTTCAAGCCCCGCATCAGGCTCTGGGCTGATGGCTCGGAGCCTGGAGCCTGTTTCAGATTCTGTGTCTCCCTCTCTCTCTGCCCCTCCCCCGTTCATGCTCTGTCTCTCTCCCAAAAATAAATTAAAAAACGTTGAAAAAAAATTAAAAAAAAAAAAAGGTTAAAAATAGAACTGCCCTGTGATCCAGTAATTGCAGTATACTGGGTATTTACCCTAAAAAGGGATACATGAACCCTTATGTTTATTGCAGCATTATTTACCATAGTCAAGATATGGAAGTAGCCCAAGTGTCCATTGATAAATGAATGGATAAGGAAGATGTGATACACACACACACACACACACACACACACACGCGCGCGTGATGGAATATTATTCAGCCATAAAGAAAAAACAGTGAAACCTTGCCATTTGCAACCTGGATAGAGCTAGAGAGTATTATGCTAAGTGAAATAAGTCAGAGACAGATACCATATGATTTCACTCATGTGTGGAATTTAAGAAACAAAATGTAGGCAGCACCTGGGTGGCTCAGTTGGTTGAGCATCTGACATCAGCTCAGGTCATGATCTCACAGTTTGTGAGTTTGAGACCCTCATTGGGTTTGCTGCTGTCAGCACAGATCCTGCTTCAGATCTTCTGTTCCCCTTTCTCTGTCCCTTCCCCACTTGTGCTTTCTTCTCAAAAATATATAGAACATTTAAAAAATTAAAAAAAAAAAAGAAAGGAGCAAAGGGAAAAAACAAGAGAAATGCCAAGAGAGCAAACTGATGATTACCAGAGGAGAGGTGGATTTATGAAGGGGATTAAAGAGTACACTTATCATGATGAACACTGAATAATGTGTAGAATTCTTGAATCACTGTAGTGTACACTTGAAGTTAATATAACACCATATGTTAACTATACTGGAATTAAAATTGAAAACAAAAAATACTTAGAGATGACAAAATAAAATAAAATGGAAACATTCAGTAAATGTTAACCATTTGGGTGTTTTTATACATTGTGTAACATGAGAAATAGCCATACTGTTTTGTGTAATGTATGAAATAGAATTTGAGCTATTGCTAAACTGGCCATACAGCCCCATTTACAGCTACTGTCCTCGTGGTTATTATTGGCACTTACTTCTTACTCTAAAAAGAGTTCTGATGTAAATAATAAATTATCTGATCCGCCTAGCTAGAGCCAACTTTGTTACAGAAGAGCTTTGTGCCCATGGATTTGTTCTTGTAAGTTTGTCTAAAGTGAAAGCTCCTCGGGGTGTCTGGGTGGCTCAGTCGGTTAAGCATCTGGCTTTGGCTCCGGTCACAATCTCACGGTTCATTGGTTTGAGCTTCACGTAGGGCTCTGTGCTGACAGCTCAGAGCCTGGAGCTTCCTTCAAATTCTGTGTCTCCCTCTCTCTGTGCCCCCTGTTCTGGCATAGAATAGAGTTATATGTGTACATATTAGGATCCTTCACATTCTGGTGTTAACTTCTCTGGGATCAATACGTACTTGCTCTTTACTAACTAATACAGCTTTGAGCAAGTTAGTTGACCTCTTTAAAGCTAGAAGCTTTATCTTTAAAATAAGAATAACATTATATGTACCTCCTATGGTTGTGTAAATGAGGTAATGTATGAAAGCAAAACATAGAAAGTACATAAATGAGAGGTGTAGACAGATATTTCACTTAAGGAAAAAGCATTGCCACAAGGTACTTAGATACATTGGAAGCTGAAAAATTGGAGTAGATGGCACTTAACTAAGGTCGTTTACAATAATAAAATCTTAACAAGCTTCAAAAGCTATTCTGTTGTTTTTATATTATGGCAAATTTCAAACATTTGTAAAAGTAAAGCAAATAGCATGAGAGAGCAATGAACCCATGAGGTCCCTATCAGTTAGCTTTCAACAATAATAAAATACATGGCCCACCTTTTATAACTTAAAAAAAATAACTTTAATGAAATATTTTACATATTATGAAATTCACCAATTTGAAGTATTCGGTCGTTTGTACAAATATGCCAAGTTATGCACCCATCATCATAAATCAGTTTTCAGACATTTTCACCCCCTTGGTAATATTCCTCCTACCCATTTACAGTTAATCCCAATTTTCACTCTCACTTCTAGGCAACCACTGATCTACTTTCTATCTGTATGGATTTACCTTTTCTGGACATTTCACGTCAGTGGAATCATAGTGTGTGATCTCTTGTATGTAGCTTCTTTCATTTAGCACAGTGTTTTTTGAAGTTCATCCATGTTGTAGCATTTATCAATCAGCAGTTCATTTCTTTTTCTTGATGGATTCCAAGTGTATTCCATTATATAGGTAATACTAAGTTTTGTCTACCGTCACAGGGGCCAGTCTTTTATCATCCGTATTTTTGTCCTTTCCCTCTGTTTCATACCCTTATTGAATTATTCAAAAGCTATTTTTAATTTCATAAGTATGATAGCTTAAACAACGATTGTATGTTCCTGCTTTTTATTTTTCTTTTCCCAAACCATCTCTCTCTCTCCTTGTTCATCTTGTCTCTTTTCTTTTCTTTTCTTTTCTTTTCTTTTCTTTTCTTTTCTTTTCTTTTCTTTTCTTTTTTTCTTCTTGTTCCAGGAGTCTTTTTTATTTGTTGTTTTGGTTTTACTTGACAATGAAGAGCTGTCTAGGTCATAAACTTTCAAAAGATAGAGACAAGTTCATTATTTTCTCACTTCAGTGAAACTTCATACATGCTCAGTGGCAAATCCAGAGAGTGATGATTTCTAAAATCATTTCCAAATCTTTCAAGTCAGCTTCAGTGTTATATGTTGGGCTGGATCTATTTATTTCTGATTCTCATGGGTGATTTGTTGTTGTTGTTTTTGTTTTTGTTTTTTTTAACTCAGGTTGTTGGAAGAGGAGCCTTTGGAGTAGTCTGCAAAGCTAAATGGAGAGCAAAAGATGTTGCCATTAAACAAATAGAAAGTGAATCTGAGAGGAAAGCTTTTATTGTAGAGGTAAGTTGAGATCTTATTTCCATTGTGTAATTCTTTACCTAAGATACTCTATGAATTTAATATTGTGAAAGAAGTTGTTTTTCAGTTGTCACTTCTCTGTATACTTCAACCTCAGCAATTTGGTAGATCCAAAGATAATGCCATGGAAACATTTTTCATTCACACTCTTAATTCTGATTAAAAAGTAGAGGAAAAGACTCTTAACTAACTACATAAGTGAATCATCCCTTTATTAAAATATAGTCTCATCCATGTAATTCAGATCTATTTCAAGACACAGAATTTAAATTTTAAAATAGAAAAGAAATGATATTTTCTCCCATTATCTAAAATTAAGGGAAATTTTATGCATTCATTTTTGACTGAATATTTTTAGAAATTCAAATGAGATCATTTTACAGGGAAAAATTTCAAATTTGATTATTTCACATTTAGCATGAAAATCTACAACTATTCTCTTACAGATTTGATGATGGAGAATTCAGTAATTGAGATTATTCTATTGTCAGATTTATTCTTAATTTTGTACTATGTTGTATATTAAATTATAGTAGTTCATTAAGTCCGGTTTTGGGGTGCCTGGGTGGCTCAGTCGATTAAGGGTCTGACTGGTTTCTGCTCAGGTCATGAACTCATGGTTTGTGGGTTAGAGCCACATGTCAGGCTCTGAGACGTTCTTGCAGAGCCTGCTTGGATTCTTTCTCTCTTTGCCCCTTTCCAACTCATGCACAGCTCTCTTCTGCCTCTCTCTCTCAAAAATAAACTTTAAAAAAATATCAGTGGTTTTATCACTTTTTAACCAGTGGATAAGTGGTCTTTATCTTACAAACCTTTCTGAATTTGTTTGTGATTATATTTAATTATAATTTCAAAGTATACTTTATGATATTTTTAAATGTATAACATAGAGACTGAGAACCTAGTTGGGATATGACGAAGTGGATTTTTGTAATTAATTGAATGAGTTGAGAAATGTTGATAGTTTGGGGTCATCATGAAGAAAAGATGATCTCTAATAGTATGCTCCGAGAGTCTGGCCTCAGCCTTGCCTTACTCATGATATTTGTTTATGGTTTAGATAAGGTCTAAAAGTGTATTGGCACTTTCACAAAACTAGGTAAAAGCATATGTGTTAAACACTAGGAATCAGGACTTGAAAAGATTATAATAGCTTGGATAAAAATTTTTTATCAAGGTTATATATACATATAATTGAGATTGTCAAATAGTCCACATATTCTTTTTTTTTTTTTTTTTAAAGCTTTATTTTATGTACCATAAAATTCACCTGGAAGTACAACTGAATGGTTTTTAAGAGATTCACAAGGTTGGGACACACTTCTTCCTTCATTAGTTCTGAGACCTTGGGCTCCAGTCTCCCACAAAGCAATTGGTCTTCCCTCTACCCCACCTCCTCTGTGTGTCTCTCTCACCTTCAAATTCGATTTCTTTCATTTACAGATCTTTGACTCCCTTGCCTGCAGCCAATCCCTTCTAATCCCATCTCTCAACTCCAGATAGTTTATCAGAGACACATCTCTTCCAGAGAGACATTCAGACATCAGAATTTAAAAATAAAATACATAGGGGCACCTGGGTGGCTAGGTTGGCTGGGCGTCCAACTTCGGCCCAGGTCATGATCTCGCAGTCCGTGAGTTCCAGCCCCACATTGGGATCTATGCTGACAGCTCGAAGCCTGGAGCCGGCTTCGGATTCTGTGTCTCCCTCTGTCTCTCTGCCCCTCCCCTGCTCGTGCTCTGTCTCTCTCTCTCTCAAAAATAAGTAAAAAAATTTTTTAAGTGTAAAAATAAAATAAATAATTAATAAAGACTTTATAGCACTAGCCCAGTGCGCACCTCCCCTATGAAAACCACGTGATGAATTCTATCAGGTCACTTCTGGAAAGACCTTGGCTCTTTCTTTATATATTATCATCCTACCTAAAAAGAGCAATAGGTGTTCTCACAGGCTGCTACCTTCAATTTGTCATCCCTTCCACTGAGTTATGTCTCTCAGACAAACTTTCAGTAAGACCCAGACAGAGAGCCTGGTTCAGACTCCTTTGTGTCATCACCCTGGCCTCTACCCCAACAAGTGGGTACAGTACTTTTGGTTGAAGTTCTAGGCTCCCAACAACCACAGCCTAGACTTTCTGAAACCAAGGAGAGAAGGAGGGGAAGAAACTAGAGGAGAGAGATGCACACTGGGCTTTGGATCAGCCACATTGGATGTGAGTCCTCTACATGTTCTTACTTTGAAAACTTTTATTCCCTTACCGTCCTTCCCATCAAGTTTTCTGCTTCTCAGAGGCAACTACTTTGAGCTCATTCCTTACTTTTCTTTGGTATCCCCCAATCCAGAGACTCTTTGCTATATCAAAGAAACAGCCTCTAATCTTTGGGATGATACAGAGGCATCACTAAGCTGTTTGAAGTCAGGAAGGGAGGGAATCTTTGGTCTACCTTTCAGCCAGTCTCTCTGTTCCATTATTGCCTTATTTGCATAGGTACCTGGTACTCCCAACCCTTTGGAGATTTTATGAGATAAATCTCATTGCTTCTCATTTTTTCTTTTCTTTTCTTTTTCTTTTTTTTTTTTTAGATCTGCTGTGTCCGTTACTGCTAATCATTTGCTTTCCAACTTCAAAAATGTGTTGTTGTCTTCTCATTTCACATTGTCTTTATACTTCTTTGTGCCTTGAAAAAATGCCTTTAATGTTTTAGTAGGATTTGAGGAGGGAGCAGGAATACTTACATAATCTGCTATCTGAAGCTCAGTCCTGAACCTTAAGATGAAATATAATAAATATGTATTTATAATAAATGAATATAATAAATAGTGATATTCTTGTGTTAAGACTGAAAATACACAGATGTTGGCTGTAGAAAAATACAGCTTTCTACTAGCATATAGTAAAAAGGTTTATCTTTTTGGACTTCATATGAGCCAGCAGTATAATGTAAATAATAAGAGGAAGAGAAAGGAAGACATGAAAGAGAGAAGAAAGAGAGTAAGGTGCAGTTTGGAGGGACACATAAACAGATGTTTGAGATGTAGAGCAAGAGAAACCGTATAGCCAAACCTCTTACTGACCTTAGTGTGATTCATTGGATTGGGGAAGATTAAAGCTGGAAGTAGGAAGAATAGCTAGGAGAACACACGGCAATTACTACAGCAGTCATGTTACTAAGGCAATGGTAGTGGGAATGCAGAGGAGGCAATTAATTCAAGAGATAGGAGAAGGAAATAGGGAAGACAGCACACATATGCAGAAAGAGTGCAGATTTTAAGTCAGATAAACCAAAGTTCAAACCCTGGCTATACCACTTCCTAGCTGTACGATATTTAACAGCTCACTTAACCCTCTCTGAGCTTTATCTTAAAGGTCCCTCTTCTTTTAAGGTAGAAATGACAATACCTATCTTGCAGAGTTGTGAGAATTATATGGTATCTATAAAGTACCTCCCCAATGCCCGGCACAGAGTAGATAGACTATTCAGCCATAGTTATGAAGATGATGACAATGATATGGCTTCTTCTGGCTTCAATAACTCAGCTCAGTGCCATCTCTGGGATAGTGTCCTAACATTTCTTGGCAAAGTTTATTCTTATTTGTACTTACCATGACTTGTTCATAACTCCTGTTACAGCACTTTGCACATTACCTTAATTATTTGTTTACATGTTCATCTCTCAACTAAAGCGTGAGAGCTCTAGGGCAGGGAATCTTTGCCATCCTGGGCAGGCATTTATGACCACAGTGCCTGCTTACATAGTGAATGATGACTGTTGAGTGATTGAACTAATGTTTTGTACAACCATGAAATTACAATGATGCTGTGAAATCAGTTTCTCATAAGTTAGCACCTTTTAAAAGAAACCTTAATTTGTTACAGCTTCGACAGTTATCCCGCGTGAACCATCCTAATATTGTAAAGCTGTATGGGGCCTGCTTGAATCCAGTAAGTTTGTCACTTTTTCATTGTCACCCATCTGTAAGCAGTGACACGGTAAATGTTTGAGGGGATGTAGTTTTTGAAACTGTTTTGAGCTGTTAGATTATTTCAAAAAAATTGCATTTTATGTATTTGTTTCTAGTCTGTTAACAACACAGTATATTGGAGGAATTATCTTAGGTGGTCTCATCCAGTAAACTCATCGTGTTATGAGATTTAGGACATCCTGTGACAGCATCTACTCAGCACTGGAGAAAGTTCTCAAAGATCTTGTGATTATGTGTTCACATTCATTTCCACTCTTAGACAGTGGGCCCCTTGTATAGAAGACAGAGTCTTGGGTCCCCTTTTCTTTCTGTTAATACCATTCACATACTAGAGACCAAAAGAATTTTTAATGCATTTATAAAATTAAAGATTGAACTGAACTATCTTGCCCAAATCACCTAAGATGCCACAACACTGTAGTTAATTATTCTGACATGTGTTTCTTTTAGGTGTGTCTTGTGATGGAATATGCTGAAGGGGGCTCTTTATATAATGGTGAGTGTCATTAGACTTGTCTTTATCTAGTAGAATAAAATTGAAGAGATCTTAATATACACTGTTAGTTGCTTAATGTTCTTCACAGTTTACCCTCAGAATCCCAAAAGGAGGTAATTAAAAAAAAAAATCTGCTAAAGATTAGAAATGAAAAGATGAAATGCTGCAGCATTGGTATATGAAATTTAGAAGTCTAAGTGGTACTTTTCATAATACTAAAAGCATTTAAGTAAGGTAAAATTTGCTTTTTAAACAGATTTTAAAATATCTTCATACTTTTAGTGTTTTTGTTTTTTGCCCTCTCTTAGCTTTGAGCCTCCTCATTTGAGAACTCTTTAACCAAACTTCCATTTCATTCTGCATAATTTGCTCTCTTTAGAAAAATAAAATTGTGAAAACTCCCTTCACAGAACGTTTTAACAATGAAGGACACTGTGTCATTTAGTTATTTTTATAGAACAGAGCTAACTTTTTCACTCTTGCAAAACACCGTGTAGTAAATATATTGTTGCATTTATATAAAATAAATTGTTGCATTCTATTTTTTAAGTTAATATTTTATTTAAATTTTTATTTATATTTACTGTGTTCATCATTGTTAATGGGTAGCTCTCATACTCCCATTGTTTTATTTGATTGAACTATTTCTAGTTTTTAGCTATTGTAGAAAGCATAATTGTAAACATCTTGATTTGCATTGTTTTGTTTCCTTCTGTACTACTTCTCTATATCTCTGTTACAATAGTATGCTATCATATTGTTTATAATTTACATTATTTTGTGAAAGACAGTATCTATCAGTGGAAAAGTGGTAATATATATTGATTTTGCCAGATAGAGCATATATATAACCTTTACTAGAAGCACTATTAGATTTTAGGTACTTATATGGTATGTATCCATTTGAAATTACTAGATATTTCTATCTTTATATTTAGAAAATAATTAAAAGCAGGACTGATGGGAACATATGTAGAAATAGACCTGGTCATGTGTTCCGACAGTGCTTGCATTCACCCTGTGTCTTTTGTTATATGCAATAAAGTTCTTTTTAGTTTGTGCCTTTCTTTTGCAGTGCTGCATGGAGCTGAACCATTGCCATATTACACTGCTGCCCACGCAATGAGTTGGTGTTTACAGTGTTCCCAAGGAGTGGCTTATCTTCACAGCATGCAACCCAAAGCTCTAATTCACAGGGACCTGAAACCACCAAAGTAAGTTCTAATAGTGCAGTGTCTTGCTCTCCTTCTCTCTCTCTCCATTCCTCCACCACACCACTCCCCCCCCCCCCCCCCCCCCACCACCACCACTTTCTAATTCAAGCTAATTGTTGCACATGATTTTCTCTTTTCTCTTCCCTTTGGCTTGTTTGAGAGTGTTTATTTTTAACTCACCTTCATTATTTAGTTATTTAAGCTTGCATTTTAAAATGTTCTCTTTAGTAGGATTTTAATTTTAGTTGAATTTTTATTTTTAATAATTCTTGCTATGGATTTGCAAACTTCTAGAATTGGTAAGACTATAAATTTATTTTGTGCCTGCTGTATATATCATTGCCCCTAGACAGTTCCGTGAGATCAGAGACAAGTTTGTCTTGTTCCCTACTATATCCCTAACAGCTAGCACAATGTCCACACATAGTAGACATTTTACAAAAATTTACAGAGTGGTTATTATTTGCCCTTTTAGAGGAAGGCAAAAGAACGTTTCTGGCCTCTGGGGAGAAATTGAAAATCTTCTGGATTTCTCCATATTGAGGATCCTAGGATCACAGTTCCCTGAATAAGTATTTTAAAGGGTGAAACTTTGGGTTTTTTTTTTGTTGTTGTTTATATAGGTATTCAGTTAAAGAAAACATACAGGTATTGTTCCCTTTTCTCTCTGATTATTTTCTTCTTTATCCACTTGTGACAGAGTCTCCACATGCCATTCTCTCGTTCTCTACCCCCCAGCCACCACATCAGCCTCATATAAGAGGTTTCCCCTAGGAAATCAGTTTCAAGTATTCCGTTCTCTTGATGCAGGTTTAAAGCATTAAAGTGCCCCTTCTGGGTACAACTTGTCACTCTCATGTCTAATCTGATACATTCTACATAGGTTTCAGCTCTTGGAATCACTTGTTCTCACTAGTGTACCTTATTTCTACTCCCAGGCTTAAACTGATTTCTCTTTCCCCGGGTCCCTGGTCAAATAATGTTTAAGACCCAGATTCATGACACCTTAATTTTTTTAACTTGACTCCAGAGGCTAGTACCTTAGCAACCTGTTTTGCCTAGTGAAGAAGAAATCACTTTGTCTTTTTTTTTTCCTGTTTATGAAGATCGAGTCCTGTTTTTCCTCTCTTAATTAACATACAGCTGAATTATCAAAACAAACTCATGAGAATCATAGCTCTTATCCAACAACAAATTGACTATTGATTCAAAGGATCCAGGCAAGCATCAGGTACAACGCATCTTTTTTCTGGAGAAGCCAGAAACCATCAGATGGAACTTCCAAAAATATCCCTTTTCTTCTATTAGGGCATGTTTTGGCTTTGGAATAACAAAACAATGTACATGAAAATACGAAAGGAAGTCCTTTCAGTTTTCCAATATCTTTTCTATTCCATAATTATACAACTTAAGTGACTGCCTTCATTCTCCATCTACCTATACCCCATAAATCCATAAATGTTAGGTTTATTTAGCCAACCTACTTAGACTGGATATGTCCTACTAAAATCATTTGTGTATAGGAACTCTTCCTTTTGTCTTAAATACCATCAGTATACTTACAAGAAGTCTGGCCTAAGTCATTCATTCCTCTTGGTCATCCTTCTGATTGTACTCATCCTATAGTATTGCAGATTGTCTTTGGGGCACTTAATGCACAAATTGGGCTTTAGAGTTAGAATTGATTTTTCAGAATGTAGTGGGGAGAAGAAAATTCTTTGGAATGGCTATGCTTACATAAATAATTATATATACAAGTCCACATGCTCTATTATTATCACTGGAAAACTGAATTCGTTGGTCGAGAGGAGTTCCACAGAATGGGTGACTCAGTTGGTTAAGCTTCCAACTCGATTTCAGCTCAGGTCATGATCTCATGGTTCGTTGAGTTCAAGCCCCACATCAAACTGCACGGACAGTGTGGAACCTGCTTGAGATATTCTCTCTCTCTCTCTCTCTCTCTCTCTGCCTGCCCCCCCCCAAAATAATTGAACTTAAAAAAAAAAAAAGGCAACTGATGATTTGGTTAGGTGTTTTATAGAATATCGACTTGTGTTTGTACCCCTATTTTATTCTTCTTTTGCAGGTTCATTTGTGTAATACTTCAGAAATAAAAATGTGTTTTGGTCCCAGCTGTATGAATGAATATAAGCCTGCAAAGATCACTTAGGTTCATATTTCAGTGAACCTTGAATGTCATGCTCATGGCTGATGACCTATCAAAATCTTATGAGTAAAGGAGTACTAATTGTAATAATAATAATATAAAAGTCATTCAGAATAAACTACCTTGATATACCAATATGAAACAAGGAAACCAGTTAGAGTTCTTATCTTGGGTAAAGAGTAGAGCTGGAACAAGAACAGTAAAACAGGAAACTTTTTGTTGAAGGACATATAAAGATAAATTGCATTTAACATTCTTTCCACTTCAGTTAGCATAGTATTTGTGACCTAATGGAGATGTATATAGTAGTTTATCTGGTTTATCCTAGTCATGCTGGACTGAAAAGAAATTCTCCAGTTAGAATTTTAGTATAAAATTATATACAAAGAATTTATAAAATTTATAATTTGAATGAATTCCATTTTTGCTTTCGAATATTACTACAATGTGATGGTACAGATTATCTTTATTTTCTGTTTGTTATGAAGAGGAAAACCCAAGTAAGAGCATGCTACTTGGTGATTGTACTTGGTTAATAAAGCACTTAGGAAAGGCAGAATCTTAAGTTCAGAAAATTTTTCTGGAAATCTTTCATTAGGTCATTTTAACTGTAATAGAGTTATGTTCCTCCTGTACACACGTTCTAAACATAAAAAAAATTTTTTAGAAGGACGTTAAAAGTAAGGACATTTAAGGAGTGCTTGGGTACCTCAGTTGCTTAAGCATCTGACTTCAGCTCAGTTCATGATCTCATGGTTTGTGGGTTCAAGCCCTCCCTCAGGCTTTGTCCTGACAGCTCAGAGCCTGGAGCCTGCTTTGGTTTGTTTCTCCCTCTCTTTCTGCCCCTCCCCCACTCACACTCTGTCTCTGTTTCTTAAAAATGAATAAACGTTAAAAAAAATTTTTTTTTAATAATAAGGACATTTAAAATAAAGATCATTTTTCCTTCTATATTGGTTTATTTTACCTTTTTTCTTTAATTAAAGTGTATGTTGTTATTTTCAAATAAATATATTCATGATTGAAAACAAATTCAAAAAGCACAGAAAAATATAAAGCAATATTTTCCTGCTTCCTGTTTCTGTTCCTCAAAGGTAACCTCGGTCTTATTTCGTTTTTTAAGCATGTGTATGGGTTATGTAATATATAATGTTGCTTTTTTTCACTTACATGGACATCTTTTCATGTCAGTATATTCAGATATTTACCTCTTTATTTTTAATAAACAGAATTTCTTATTACTTTCTAAGCAAGTATTTGAAACTATTTCTGTTCATGTAAGCAATCTTAGACTTGGAAGACTTGATTTATAGAGCTGTTTTTAGAAAATACAATGCTACTGAATCACTTGACATTTTGAGATTCTGTACAGTTTTCAATGCCCAAAATTGGTGCTTCTCAAACTTTCCCACTGCCTAGAACAAAGTAATGATATAACTTCAGTGTTCTACTAGGGACAGAGCCCAATAAGCCTTCTTAAGGAATATTGCGTGCAAATTTTGCATTCAACTTCATATATTGTGTAGTTTGTTTTCAAGTCAATCTTGGGATGTTAGAAATACTCACAGCTGTGTAAAAGTGATAGTCCAGGGAGAAGTGCTAGCTTTGACCTGGGGCTCTGTGGGCTCCCTACCACTTACCTTGGCATACACTGACATACTTGCAAGGTTTCATACCCTAGTTTGAAAAACACATAAAGTGAAACCTTTAAAGCTATGCATTTAAATCCTGACAACCTATGTGTGCTGATAGAAATTGTATACAAATGTGGCTTTGATTCTTATGCTCACATGGTAAGAATTTTGACCCTCCAGCAATGTGGCAAACCAGATCAACTGAAAAATCATCCTACAACAAACACCCAGAGATACTACATATTACAACAGACCTCTTTTTTTTTTTTATTTTTTATGTTTATTTATTTTTGAGAAAGAGAGAAACAGAGCATGAGTGGGGGAAGAGCAGAGAGAGAGAGGGAGACACAGAATCCGAAGCAGTCTCCAGGCTCCGAGCTGTCTGCACAGAGCCCTATGCGGGGCTTGAACCCACCAACCATGAGATCATGACCTGAGCCAAAGTCAGATGCTCAACCAGCTGAGCCACCCAGGAGCCCCAGCAACAAACATCTTTTTACATGCAGAGGTGATCTCACAAGAAGATGAGGGAAATCATCAGGGCAAAAGATGGAGAGAACTGAATCCTGAAAGAATTAAACCAAGCCTGGAAGCCAGGGACTCTACTGTGAGCTTCTTTCAGTATAAAAAATGTAGAGTCCCCAGTTTTAATGGCTCTTATATAACTGGAGACAGGTCCTTTGTTCTGCACCAGGTAAAGTAGCAGACCTGAGACCTCTCTATAAAGTCAGTGTCTTTGGAGAGAACAACTTAAAAGTAGGCTAGGGGGGCGCCTGGGTGGCGCAGTCGGTTAAGCGTCCGACTTCAGCCAGGTCACAATCTCGCGATCCGTGAGTTCGAGCCCCGCGTCGGGCTCTGGGCTGATGGCTCAGAGCCTGGAGCCTGTTTCCGATTCTGTGTCTCCCTCTCTCTCTGCCCCTCCCCCGTTCATGCTCTGTCTCTCTCTGTCCCAAAAATAAATAAACGTTGAAAAAAAATTTAAAAAAAAAAAAAAAGTAGGCTGGGAAAAAAATCAGTTTTCTAACTAGGCAGAGCTTTTATTTCTTATTTCTTAACAGAGCTGTCTCCCTTCCTGCTGTCGTGAGTTTGAATTTGCCCTACTTGCACAATCAAGAAAAATCCCAGCAAGACAGGTTAAAACTGTTTTGGGGATTGGTAGTGTACCAGGGAGGGCATCTAATAGTAAGTGAAATTCCATTTTAAAGTCTTATTCTTTCAGTCCAGACTGTTAATTATTGCAGATTAAAATTGATCAAATCATAAAGCCACAATAAAGATTACGACACCTGTGGGGCGCCTGCTGGACTTGGTTGAGCGTCCGATTCTTGATTTCGGCTCAGGCCATGATCCCCAGGTTGTGGGATTAAACCTTGTGTTGGGCTCCATGCTGAACTTGGAACCTGCTTAAGATTCTTTTTCTTCCTCTACCTCTGCTCCTCCTCTGCTTATGCTCACGCGTGCTATGCCCTCTCTCTCTCTCTCCCTCTCTCTCAAAAAAAAAAAAAAAAAAAAAAAATTACCGCATCCGTAAGCATTTAGGTTACCATGAGTGAATGTCAGTAGAAATAACATAGAACAGAATTAAGCCCTCAAATATTAAGACTCCAAATATTTGAAATTATCAATATGGAATATAAAATAAGTATGCTAATTTAAAAAATGGAATTAAAATGTTCAAGGAGTAAAAACTATTCAAAATGACCAAAAGAACTAAACACAACATTTAGGAGTAATTAAAAAATTTCAATAGATCTGGAATAGGTGACAAGAAAATCAGTAAGCTGTAAGATATCTGCAGTTACCCAGAATGCAACACAAATAGATGAGAAAAATGATAGGTTAAGGAACATAGGAAAAAGGAAAAGACTAACAACATAGAACTCCAGTGAAGAAAATAGGATGGGAAGAGATTATAATTTAAAAGGTATTGGCCAAGAATTTTCTGGACAAAGTTATGAATTGTAAATAGGATAAATGAAAAGGAGTCTACTCTGTGACACACCTTAAGGAGGCTACGGAACAACAAAAACAAAGGGGAGATTTTTAAATCAGTTAATCAGAAAAGAGATTACCTACAAAGGATTGTCAGGTAGACTGAAGTATAGTTTCCAATACCATTAATGAAAGCTAGAAAACTAGAATCATAACTTCACAGAGCTGAGAAAAAATAGTTACCTACGCAGAATTGTGTACCTGCCCTAAATTATTTTTAAGGAGAAAGGTGCAAGTTAAAGACATTTTGATAGAAAACCTGAGAGAATTTACAATACATGGACCTTAATTGAAGGTATTTGGGAAAGAAAGAAAATGATTACATAGACAAGTATAAGGTTCAAGAAGGAATGGTGAAACAAAATGAGTAAACATACATTAAGATAAATGTTGGCCATATAAAACAAAAATACCTTTTTGCGTGTAAGAAGGGGATTCAAAATAAAGAATTATTTCTACTTGTTTACAGATTAACCAACATGACTATAAGTCTTTTAGGTAAGGATATTAGAGAGTGTCTCACACATTTATTTTTAAATGTTTAATTAACTCTTTAATAACAAACTAATAAAAATTGTCTTTTTACACTTCCAGAATGCTTTATATATTTCAGTTCTTATAGGACTAACAAGTTACATTGGGATATAAGAAGCTTAAGACTCTGAGTATCAGGGTCTTTGGAATCTTAATAGCTGAGAATATTAGCTATTTTAACACCAGCTGCTGTAGCTCATACTGGGCTTATCATAGTAGAAATGTATTTTTTGTGCATGTAAAATCCAAAACAGGTGTTCTTCTTTGGCAGATGGTCTTCCATGTAGTCATTCAAGGACCCAGTTAGGCTCCCTCCATCTTGTATTTCTGCTACCTCCAGGACTTTGGGAACGTAGGCATTCAGCCAGCAGATAAAGAGAATGGAGATCATGTGAGAGATTTTTTGGGCCACACCTAGAAGTAACCCTCCCTCTACCCACATATCAGTGGCCACAACTCAGTCTTAGGTACATCTAGAAGTTCAGAAAAGTGTGCCCCAGAGGAAGTTGGGGGTGGCTTTTATGAGCAGTCGGCCAGTCCCGGTCCCCCAAAGTATTTATTTATTGCTCTAACCACAGGTTAGAACCACTTACTGTTCTTTGCCAGTTAAACATCCCAAAGGCTCTTCCAGTCACCATCTAGTTCACCATCCAGGGTCTCAGGATGACATACCGTGCTCTCCAACTGGTCTGGGTGTGGCCCGTTTAATTCATTTGGAAAGCAATTAAAAGGACAAGTTTATCTGTCACCTCTTCACCTCTTTCTCCCAACTCACACAATACATAATGGCAGAAAGACAGGACAATCAGTAAAATTTCCACTGGGAAAAGAGAAGCATGGAGGCATATAGCAGTTACTGGTGTGTAGGAATGAAGTCCTGCATTGTCTGGTCCCTCTGCCCTGGATTTGTGAGCGTGGTCTTGATCTGACCTTGATTTTACCCTTGGAAAGGAACTCCCTTATCCATTGCTCATGACTCCAACTTTCACCCTTACCTAGACTCCTTGTGCATTTTCATACCACGTCAGACGTGGGTTTTGGCATAGACTGTCCTCAGAAGCCCTACAGTTTATATAACCTACATCCTGCTTATGTAGATCTGGGGTCCTGAGGATTGTTGTTAAGACTCAAAACAATCAAACTTTTAATTAGAAACTTGCTCCTTTGGCAATATTGATTTCTTCAAAAGTAGGTTTGTGATCTCTGGTTCCAGTCAGTTTCATGTGCCTATAACTATTACCAGAATTTTTTGTTAGGCAAAATCTTGAACCTGGTTTATTTGATTTCTGGCCACATCGCATTTTCTCAACTGAATAGTGGCACCCTGAAGCCGTTAAGTTTCGGTGGGAAGTACTCTCTTTTAATGTGTTTTTTGCTGCAGTACTGAGTCTTCGTGGACCTTTGTCAGTCTTACTTCCTTCTGTTTGGAATCTAGAAGCAGTCAGCTTTTGTAGTCCTTTAGGACCACAAATTATCATAGGAGACAGATTTTACCAAATGTTTTGCCATGTCATTACGTGGATTTTTCCAGCCTCCAATTTTAGCTTTCTTGTGCCTACTACTAAGCTAATATCAAATACAGTATATTAGATTTTTGTTACACCACCACCCACTTCTGTACCATTTTCTCATATTGGTTAGAGTGGCACTGTTATAATAGATAAGCTCTGAAATCTCATGGCTTTACAAAATATTTTTTTTTCCTTCACTCGTATGAAGTCCAAAATGAGTGTTTCTGATTAGTGAGTTTTTCACATTGGTGGCTCAGAATCCCAGGCTTCTTCTGTCTTGTAATTCAAAATCCTCTGAATGCAGTGGCATACGAGGAAAGAAGAAGGAGTAAATTTGTCTGTGGGAGATTTTTATGGCCAGGCTTGAAAGTGAAGTACATAACTTCTACCCACAATCCATTGGCTGGAATGGACGAACAGCCCCATCTAACTGCTCAGAAATCTAAAAAATCTAATCTTTTTGCCCAGGAGGGAAAGGAAATAGGGTCAGTGAACAGTTAACCAGTCTGGATACATTAGTCTAAACTAAAGATTCATATCTGTTTGCCATAAGATTAATAACAAGTCTGTAAACGTTTGGACCATGATCCATGGTAAGACATACTTCATAGTCTATTGTGTACATATTAATGTGTATAAAACTGAAACAACATACATGAAACAGTATTTAATCTGTTTGTGACACACTTTGGTATTTTCTATTCTATTTTTTAAAATGCTGTCATAGTCTACTGAATCAATTTTGTGACCTAGGTTTCCAGATCTTTGGGCTAGATTTTATGATCTATATTTTAAGACTAGGTTTCTGCCTGCAGCTTGAAAAACACTGCAAGGGGTAGATTACGTTTAGGGTGCAAGTGATTTATGAAGGTATTGAAATCTATCCACTTTCATTTCAGGACACCATAACGTTGACCTAGAACTTTTTAAAACCCCATGTTTAATTTTGGCCCAGAGAGACATATAGTCAGGAAAGATCATGGAGATAGAGATGGAGACATCAAAATGTGGGTCTAGCAGTCTCCCTAAGAGAACTAGGTTAAGGTCAGTTAATCTTTGCTAATATTCCTCTGAACTGTTAAGCTGTTAGAGTGACCAGGAAGCATTTGACAGAAGTTGAATAGTGACATTTTGCTTAACACTTTCTGTTTCCACAAATGTCTCTTCTTTTTTTGTAGGAATCAAGTATTGGTCTAATAACCTTTGTTTTTGTTTTTTTGTAAACAGCTTGTTGCTGGTTGCAGGGGGGACAGTTTTAAAAATCTGTGACTTTGGTACAGCCTGTGACATTCAGACACACATGACCAATAACAAGGGCAGTGCTGCTTGGATGGCACCTGAAGTTTTTGAAGGTAAAATGACAAAAGCATGTTGTGATTGATAATCTTCCTTCTTACTCCATATACATCCAGCATGTGTTTCTGGCTTTACCCTGTTTCCATGGTTTTACTCCTGCATAGTACATATCATAAAGTATACAGTTAACCCTTGAACAATGCAGAGGTTAATGGCACCACTGCCCCATGCAGTTGAAAATCCACGTGTAACTTTTGACTCCCCCAAACTTAACTACTGAAAGTCTACTATTGACCAGAAGCCTTACTAATAACATAAACATTTGATTAACACATATTTTATATATGTATTACATACTGTACTTTTACAATAAAGTAAGCTGAGAAAAGAAAATGTTATTAAGATAATAAGGAAAACACATTTATGGTGTTAAACTGTATTTGTCAACAAAAAAAATGTGTGTATAAATCCAGTATTCATGGGTTAGCTGTACTAAAGTCTAAGAAGGTAGTAAACAAATACAGTCCTAGATCATAGTAAGATTTATATTGTCTAGCAACATTCTATGCAAATTCAAGTATATGTTCAATCCTCATTTTCATATTCTACCTATTGCAACTGTAAAAATCACCTATTTGTAACCCTAAAATCAGTATTCATGGTACTTTCATGGTTATTTGTGGTCATGTATGGAGGAGGGAAAAATTGTGAGTCATCCAACACACGTTCCCGGCTAAGGAACGAGACAGCACACCACCTTCGTATTTCAGCTCTCATGCTGTGTTGTTTTTATGATCTACATAGTACCACATTTTTTTCGTTCTTTATGTGCTTTTTGTTGGTGATTTTACTGTTTAAGATGGCCTCCAAGAGCAGCATTGAAGTGTTCTAGTGTTCCTAAGTATAACAAGACTGGTATGTCTTACAGAGAGAAAAATGCATGCTAGCTAATCTTTATTCAGGTATGATTTATAGTGCAGTTCCATGAATTCAATATTAAGAATCCACAATATATATTAAATAAGGTGTTTTAAACAGAAACACACATAAAACAAGGTTATGGGTTTTTTTTGTTTTTTGTTTTTTTT